TCTGCGGAGTGCTGTATTTTGACTGACTGTTACGAGAGAATCGTATCCACTACTCCCTTCTAGTCCCTAGCTAGCACATAGGTGCTGCATAGTTCAGACCTGGCTGGCCATTGGTCTTGTTTGTTGCCAATAACGTTTCTTGGTCTTTGCCCCAAGTGCTGACGGCCAGCGATTTGAGGACTTTGCTGCGGTTCTGTACTTTATTGACAATTGCGGTGGTATGCACGTCGAAAATTACTCCGAGTATTTTTGGGTTGTTAACAGTCGGAATTTGCTCGTCAACGACGTTTACCTTTGAACTCAGTCCATCAATTCAGCGTATGAGATGATGGAGACTCCCTTAGGTGGTAGAGGGAGTTTTGAGATGTAGAAATCTGACAGAAGCGGGGAGAGGACAACCTCATTTGGAACTACCTGTTTAAATTTACTCGGCTCAGATGTTTTTTCTCTGAAGATTACTCATACGCAGTGCTGTACATTGTGAATAATTGACCTACATATGACCATGCCAAGATCAGACTATTTCTTTTTAAATGCACACTATTTTCGAACACAAAAAGGAAAGACAAAAGGGATATTTACATAACGAATCCAAAATCACCAATTCTGGGGAACGAATTATATTCGTCATTGCCTGGGCTAACATACAAAAACTTGAATTGATGGACCGATGCAGCACAGTGTAGAAAATGAACCTGACTTGTGACAAAATCAACTATCTCGGGAGCACGAATATGCAGAAAATTTTTTCTGGCTTACCAATTACATACTTAAGCTTTTGAATACCGTTCTTATTTCGCTTTCTATTCTCGTTCTCGAGATATTCGATTTTCTCTCTGAAAATTCCATTTTCCACTTTGTGAGTCTTCAGCCAAGTAGTTCTGGTACATTCGATCCGATAGTCTTGCTCTAGGTTCATAGATCTTAAAATGGTTTTTAATAGCCATTACCTTTTTAATAAAATAAAACGATTTATTGGTTTGTGGGATTAAACGGTTGCAAAAAATGGCACAGAAGAAACTCACCATATAAAAATTGTGCCTGCTGTTTATTTTCTTATAAAACGCTCTATTGCTAGCATTTGTTTAGTGAGCACTTCGTAAAAATTTGTTTACATTTTTAAATGCGGAACTGTAGTTAGTTAATATGCAACAAGTAACTTATTAATTCAACAGGGGAATTTCCCAACTTTGAAGGCCTATAATCCAAGTGCTTTGCAGTCTATGGCAAAAAATTAAAGATATGTTCTGCCGATTTTAGTACTGGTATTTGTATCATATACATACATAAATGTTTCTAAGACCAGACCGGACTGAGGGACGGCAACTGGCAATCATTCGAAATAAAGTTAAGTATAGTTTACCCTTATTTAATGGGTTTATTAAATAAATGACGAAATAAAAGGAGTCTCCCAATTAACGCTGTTAAAATCGATATTACTAACTTTCTGTCGCATGTCGAACATTCTTCTACCTCCCGTGGTTCGATGGGCATTGAAACTATATTCGCTGTGTGTTGGCGGAAGTCCCTTCACTACATAGACAATGTAGTTGGGCAATAGCACTAATGATAGAAGCCACTAAAAAGTGGGAGCCGGTTAATAATGCAGTCGCAATTGAGAATATTTTACGAGCAGCGTCGGAGATAATGTCGCATATTTACGTGCACTAAACGCTATTGAGACGAAATAAGTTTCACAATTTACCGAGGTACATCATCGGCTACGGAAAGCAGTTATTTAAGCGGTAGGTCGACGTGACATGGCGGGCGAGGATGGTTTCATGTTGACGTTATTTCTAACGGTCGGTAACGGTAAAGCTTCGCGCTCAAATCAACTAAGGTGTAAGTACTTTACGGTAGTATCGGGAGGGAACGGTAAATGACTGTAGGAGGCCTGTCTCTAGACTAAGGCGCTTTTGTAAGCACGAAGAAAGTGCGATTTAAGGAGTCGGAACCCCCTTACCGGCGTCTTGTCAGGATGCGAAATCGGGCCAGCATAACGAGTTTTGTTAGGCACAATTCAAAAACCAAATCTTTACAAAATATTCACGATTTTTGTGTGAATGGGACGGTGGTGCCCGCGACAAGCATTATGTGAAAAAGGATTGGACACTCAGAAAATGTTTTAATTGAGGTTATAAAAATATGGGCAAATTCCAGAAATTAATAATCAACGAAAACAAAAAAAAAATTCATGAGTTTATTTCCATTTCACAGATTTTGTAAAAAAAAAAAAATTATTATAATAATTTCAATAGTGATTTGTCGTCTATATCTTCATGGTCTGTGAGAAACGGTCTATGTCTTAATAGTGAAAAATCATTTGTTTTACCAGTATGTAAAAGAAATATTAATTGTAATGTGACGCCTTCTCTGTACATTGGTGATAACTCCCTTAAGTTTGTGTCAAAAGTAACTAACCTAGGTTTTGTTATAAACACTAGTTTAACCTGCATTGATCATATTAATTCCGTTGTCGGCAAAGTATATTATACTCTGCGGAATTTAAGAATGTCTGCTACTTTTACACCGGTGTGCATTAGGCGTAAACTCGCCATTCAATTAATATTGCCTATAATATGTTACTCGGAATTAATCTACAGTAAGCTGGACTCACAATCTGCTCATAAAATTGATGTGGTATTCAATCACGTTACGCGGTATGTTTTTGGGTTGGCGAAATACGATCATATATCTGAATGGAAATCACTGCTCCTGGGATGCGGTATTTTTGAATACTTGAAGGCTAGAAATTGCATTTTTATACCCGAGCGCACTTGTGCACAAGGGTATATTAATTTTGTTCACATAACGGTTGTTTGTAACAGCCAAAACGAATCGAGATAGATATAGACAAATGTATACATAAATGATCAGGTTGAAAAAAGAAATCGTCCGTCTGTCCGTCTGTCCGTGTACACGATAACTCGAGCAAAAATTGAGATATCTCAACGAAATTTGATATGTAGGTTTCCCTTAATCCAAGGTAGGTTGGTATTGAAAATGGGCGAAATCGGACTTTAACCACGCCCACTTCCCATATAACGGTAATTTCCAGAAATACGAAAACTGCGATATTTTAGTAACTAATGAAGATAATTCACTCAAAATTGATATTTATAATAAGTTTTAGACAAAAAATAAGAATATTATAAATTTTTGGAAAATGGGCGTAGCCACGCCCACTTATGGTTACATGTGTATATCTTGGTAACCGCTGCACCAATTTCTTCCAAACTTGGCACAGTTGTTGACCTTGGTATAACATAAAAAACCGCCGAAACTTTTTAAAATCGGACAATAACCACGCCCACATCCCATATAACAGTAATTTAGAGAAATACAAAATCTTCGATAAATCAGTAAATATTGAAACTAATTTATTCAAAATTGATGCTTGCAACAATTCTTTACCAAGAAATACGTTTATGGTAAAATTTTGGAAAATGGGCGTGGCACCGCCCACTTATGATCACATATAAGTATATCGGTAACCGTTCTACCAATTTGTACCAAACTCGGTGTGGTTATTGTGCTTGCCACAAATAAGCAAAACGTTGAAAATTATTGAAATCGGACTAAAATAACGGCCGCTTCTCATATAACGGTAAATTTCAGAAATGCTTGAAACCTTAATATTTCGAAATTGAAGGACGCTAATTTACTCAAAATTGATACACACCGGCTTACCATCTAGCGGAAGGTTTCGGAAAGGTGAAAAAACATATATTCAATACTTGCGCCGGGTATTTAATGTTCGGCTCCGCCCGAACTTAGACTTTCTTACTTGTTCTATTTCGCCTTATGATGGATAAGGAACCTAGCTATCTGTTTGAAAAATTGTCTTTCCCGAAATCTGCGCGCCTAACGGAATTGATCGTGCCCAACTATAGTTATCTTACATCTGGAAGACTATTTTTTGTTAATGCTATTCGCACCTGGAACTCGATTCCATCTCATATTCGTAATAGTTTGATCATAAGCAACTTTAAGAGTGTTTTGTATTCTTATTTTCGTTAAAATGCTATTTCATGCTCAACGGCAATAAGGCAGAATTTGCTTTATTTCATTTTTAAATGGAGATTAATACAAAAATGACTTGCGGTCGCGAACAAATAATTAAAATTCCAAAAATTTTAATAATTTTTCAATTAAATTGCTTTCGTGAAATTTGCTGTAAGTGCTAGAGCTAAAGCAGAATATCATCGACACTTGGGATCAAATGAAAACTGTTTACCCAAAACTTTACGGACTTTTCAAAAAATACTGTCATTTAGTTGGTACCTCGGTGCCTGCTGCGCTCCTTTTTTCAAAAGCAGCTGCTACAGCCAAAAAGAAACGCAACCGCTCAATAATAAAACAGCCATCAAGGCGTTCGTTTTTGCGAACATGCTTAAATCATAAATAATTATCGGCGCTAAAAATACGCGTTTTACTTTATTTAAGGCTAATTAACAAGAGAATTAGAATTTTTTTTATAGAAAAATGTTTTTGTGAATACTCACTGTAAAAAGTGCCTTTGGAAATTCGATCAAACGACTATTTCTCAATAATTGGAATTAACTTTTATCATATGATTAATTAATCGATTATTTTATTTTTTGTCTTCCCCATTTCACAGCATACTGAGTTAGGGTTGGTTTTTTTTCATCAATACTTGTTTCCATGAAGCAAAATTTAATAAACTAATCACAAAAAAGGCGCAGAAATTCACTGGGAAATATCATTGAAAATGACCAACTTTTTTTAAACAGCCATAATTTGATTTGATTGATTTTCCACTTTCGAGTTAACTATTTTTTTGAAGTTTGAGAGAAGGAGTCCTGCTCATTTTGTAACATTGAATTCTATAAATTTCATTATTCGACTTTTTTTGGGTCATTCACCACTAATTAACTAAGCGACGTGTTTGCATACAAATAGCACACGCCATGTACTATCTACATATATGTATAAATAAACAACATTTTAATGCCAAAAATTATAAACAGCACACTCACATACGCATACACACTTAACCTTTTCACTTTCGTGGCCGCTTTTCAAGGACTGCGCCAATTGGCGCATTCAACTACTGCCACACTTTCACCGCCAAAGAGTCCTTCAGCGCTGGTCGCACTCACATAACAGCATGTAAATAATATCTATGTACATACATATACACACGAATACACTTCAGCGCGAATGGCGCCGCATTAAAGTGAAAGTGGAAAGGATCGCTTAATCAGGCATGGAATTGTCGTTTTTTTTTCATTTCACATCCGCGGGTCTTGTGCGGCAGTTGCACGTTGCAATAAAAGTAAAAACACGCAAAAATAAAGAACGCGATTTAATTTCTGTTTGATTGAGCATTTAATGTTTAATGTTTGAAGCACTCAAGGATAACGATGATGGCACTGCAAGTGAATGACTGTTTAAAGAGGCGGAATTGAAATTTGGTTTGTCGTCAGCAGAAGATTTTGTTTGTGCACGCGCGCCACAGCAAGCTTGTTGATCTAATTTAGATTTTTGAAAGGTTAAATACACGTGTATTATCTGAGCGCATATCCTTTGCGTTTATCCTTGCAAATAACCTTACACATATCCTTTTTCGCTTGCACAGCTGACTTGTTTGGCCACTTTTCAGCACAAATTTAGACGTAGAAAAAATTCGATTATATTGTATTTGCTATACAGTACAAAATTTTCCGAAAAATATTTACTCACATACACATAATGATTTTCTTAGTATACAACTACTAGATACTTTAAAAGTAGGTTACTTGAGTTTAATGTACCACATCAGCGACATTGCATTAAATTTTCATATCCTTCGCACGCCTTTATTGGCTTATCCTTGCACTGGCGAGTATGTATATTAGGGCGGTCCTTAAAAACTTTAGTATCTCAATTTTGTGTGGAGCAAGCCACGAAAATATCAAAAAAAAAAAAAAAAATAAATAATAAATAATAATTTAGGTATCGCCAAGGGCCGTTTTCTGATTGCACGTTAAAGATAACCGGAGCTATGGGTTAAAAAAATGAAATTATTTTTTATATTGCAAAAACTCGACAAAATGCTGACTTGAAATCTGCAATATTATTCATATAAATTCCTAGTTGGTCAAGGTATTTTTTTTTTGAATTTTCGCGATGTAAAAAAAAAATAAATTTTTTCAAATTATTTTTTATATCGCAAAAGCTCGACAAAATGTTGAAGTGAAATCTGAAATATTATTCCTATACCATCCTAGTTGGTGAAAGTAAAAATTTGTCGAATTTTTGCGATGTAAAAAAATTAAATTTTTTCAAATTATTTTTTATGTCGCAAAACCTCGAGAAAATGTTGACTTGAAATCTAAAATATTATTCATATAAATTCCTAGTTGGTGAAGGTAAAAATTTTGTTTTTGCGATTTAAAAAAATTATTTTTCATATCGCAAAAACCCGACAAAGTGCTGACTTGAAATCTGACTATTATTCATATCAATTCATAGCTGTCAAAATAAAATTTTTTTCGTAGTTATGCTATGTAAACAAAAATAAATTTTTTCAAACGCACCCTAAATGATTTTTTTTTAATTTATTATTTTTTTGATGACTTTATACTGTACGTAGAACAAAATAAAGTTGTGACCCATAATGTAGATATTTTTCAAGGACCACCCTAGTGTACATACATACAAACAAACACTTTCAAGCGCACCTATACACAATCAATTGTTTATGCGTTGCCTTGTTGCCGCGCCACGTATCCTTTGCGTTGTCCTTGGACGTGCGCGCGCAAATCGCATGACATCACAGCAACATTTTATTTTTATTTTTCCATTTGCTTTCCACTTTACGCATTTATTTTAATTTTATTTTCATTTTTATTGCACTTTTTTATGCTTTTACTGCAAAGTATTCTTTTTTATTTAATTTATTTTTCTCTTTTTCACATTGAATTTCATTGCACACCAAACTTTAATTGCCTGTTATTTGCTTTTATTGCAGCAACTACACACCAACACCACAACCACCAACATTGCATATCCTTAAAGGACACTCTAGACTTTGAATTCTTCACACTATACTTTTTTTGCTTTGCTTTGCTTGGCTTTGCTCTGCCTGACTTTTGTTGCTATTTCAGCCTTTGCGCGCGTTCCCGTTCGTTTAGTTTGTTCAAGTGCCGCTTTCTGCTCCGTTTGACCTCCGACATACGACTAAATTTGTCGGAATTGGAAAAGTGGTGCCTTAGTGGCTCAATGGCTAAATAGCTGAATGCCGCCTAAGCGTTGACTACTTGAATGTGTGGTTAAGTAGCTAAGTGGTGCGGTGGCAGCGGCGGCGGCGGTTTAGCTCAGCTGTTGCGCCATACACTTGCTTTGCTAGAGCTACATACATACATACATGCGTACTGTTTATTTTTGTGCGGCTGTTTGAGCGCTTATAAGCATACATATGTACATATGTGTGTGCTAAGCCTGCTAGTTAGTTAGTTAGTTAGTTCATTCGTCGGTTAGCTGGCGTGCTTAGCATGTCAGTGTAAGTGACTAGTAAAGTAAATGCTATAATTTCAGCAGAGACCGCGCGTTACTAATACAAAAAAAAGAAATGGCAACGAATAACTACATACATATGTACATCCACACATAGGCACAATGTACCTTGTCCGTGGAAAGCGACACACTGGATATCCGGGTGCGGGCGTGGGTGTTTGTATATAAACCGACATGAGACAATGAGCAACCCAGCAAACCAAGTTCTGGGAATTTTTTTTTTTAAAGCAAACGAATAGAGGAAGTGTTCTGTATGAAGTAATTTGAAACGAAATTTCGTGATGCCTTGCCTTGATTGAAGTTGAATCGTTGGGGTCTTTCGTTCGGAGTTGATTTTTTTATCTTTTGTGTAGCCGAAGCGAGGTCAACTGTGCTTGGAAGATTAATTTCCTTGCCAGTAAAAAAAGATATACAAAGAGCATGATCTGTCCAAGATCTACCCCATCTCCCCAAAAAGTACAGTGTTCTGAGTTTACCAACTCAGTAATTAAAGACGACGGACCGTCTACCCATTGGCATAAAAAATTTAGTGGCGGACCCACAAACAATCGCAGCTATGTGTCCTCCATCCTTGCCTCGTCGATGTACCAATGTACATATCTGAGACAAGACCACGCAGTCTATTTTCCCAGATCTCTCAGGCTGCTATTTTGAACTAAATTTTTCTGCCAAAACTCATTTCTCTTAGCACAGTTAGAGTAAATAGATCCGCATATTTTCAACACCAGTTTTTTACCCAATATACCCAGCATCACGGGTAGATAAGTTTTTATTGATCCTGCGACAGAGAGTAAAGCCAAGATTATAAGTTTATTAAACCGCGATATGATATTTTTATTGTAGTGGTTTGTCTTCCAGACTATGAAGGCATAAACGAGAACCAGACGGACAATCAATAGGTGTGGAAACCTTTTGTAATCGCATCAAATTTCAGCCCGATCGATTGATACCTATTTACTAATCCCAAATTAAACTTAAAGTTTTGAAATTTACACACGTTCTCACAACTGGCTGCAACCGCTTTTACGTCTTCTACCTTAACTTCATTAGTCGAACTGCTGACATTCGCTCTGTGTACCTTTAGTCGTTTACTCCCCTGTCATTGTTTTTTTCCTGCTTCATTGTTGTGTCATTGCTTCCCCTTTGTAGTGATTTTTCGTATTAGGCTCAATGCTCTACACAAGGAGTGTTCCCACTACTAGGTGCTCCCCGTACTTTACCGCAGTTTCAACTGCCTATGCTGGGTTTTCAGCACAGGTGTGTTGGCGTCCATTTTGGGGAACTCTCGTCCAAGACTCCTTTTCTTCCTTGAAATTGCTAAGATACTAAAATACTACCAGATTCTCTATGCTCTACTAAACTAAGTAGCTTTAAGTACAGATTCCATATCCAAACAAAATGTCTTCCAGGGGCCCTAATGGCTGGACTTCCTCAAAGCATTCAAGCTGTGTCTGTCCCTCTTTAGCTAATACTATGTCGTTCTTAGTGATTACATACTTCCTACCTGTATGCATTCTGCCAGAGATCTGCCTTCGCCTGCCGCTCAGACCATATCAGCGTAAATAATTCTCAATGGATTTTTAGTAGTTCTCGAGCTAAGCGTAGGCCCTAACGGAGCTTTGGCATGCTTCAGAGCTCGGTGGTTTTTAGAGACTAGACAAAATAGGATTCCTCTTAAAAACCGCAGCATTATTTTAATCATTTAAAAATGTGGTGATCACATAAGCTTAGTGAGTACTCATACTGTTCATGTGTGAATATGTAGGCGCTTCTTTGTACCGTTTGGCGCGTTCATAATGTGTCGTGTGTGTGTGTGTGTGTGTGCCATTAAGTGGTAAATTGTTTATTATCTAGTTTAAGTTGTCTGGACTTGGGTCACTGCTACCGTTTAGTTACCCATCACTGCTTAACCATTTACTCACAATTACTACACACACACAACACACACACATAGACAAGTTATAGTAGGAGTAAGCATCTGATATTGAGTTTGTAGGTGCCCAGTTGGTTTATGAATTAAATGGATTCAAATTGGAAAATTACACCCACTTTAATGTTGCCACAAATTGTCTGTATACATATATACACAAACACAAACAGTTGATATGCAAATAAAATCATATTATTCTGTGCATTGTTTTTGCGGGTTCATTAAACGCAAATTACTATGAAGGGGCGACTCAGACTTTCTTGCGTTAAATGAAGGAAATTTTGTGTGTGAAGAAAGTGTTGTACACAAAATTTTTAAACTATTTATTCTTTATTTATTTGTTCAGTGCGATTACAAATACAAATTTTCTCGGTGTGACAGAGAGGCACTTTATTTAAACAGCGAGCTAATTTTTGCTACATATGAACAGACTACGAGCTTCTTTATGAAACTTTGAGCATATTAAGTATTTTTATCTAAATCAGAATTCCTGATAAAACATTTCTACTTGAGTAATTGCACAAGTTATTTTAAAAATTTGCAGTTCGCAAATTTTTTTTTTTTTTTTTATTACTTATCGTTTTTGTTTTTTGTCTCCCTTAACACGAATATGTGCAATGCTTGAACTTTGACCATGGCTCAATTGAAAATATTTCATGCGCAAACACATTTCGGCTCGTAAATGCAATATAAGTGAATTGGAAGTATGCCATTGCGAAGTCAAAGCAAATTTGTCTGCGTGTGGGAGAGTCTGTCGGCAACCCTCAATAGCTGTCCAATTAATTAATAATCATTTTAATAAAGAAAATTATGCGAATACAAAAGCTGTCATAGACTGTTAGCGCAGCTATTTGTTTTTTTTTTGTTTGTGATTCTTTTGTTTTTAGGTTTTTTGCCCACTCAGAAGCCAATATGAAGCAAAAGTGATTAATTGAATTATATGCGTTGATTACGCCACAGACGGCTGCAAGCTTTGAACAGTCTTTTGACGTTTAATTAGATTTGCTGAGAGTTGATATTATCGAACATTTTCAAAAAATTAATAAATTTCAAAGCATCGATCTGAAAGTTGTAGATAAGTAGCAAAAATGATAGCTAAGATAATGTGAAGTGCAGATGTTGTGCAAAAATGAGATTTTAAGTTTTGCGTGCTTGTAGTTATAAATAAATAGCACTTAGGAATGAAATATGTAACTACTTAGGCAATGGGTAATGAAGTTGTTGAATTAATTGCAGATTCCATTAATGGATAAATTTTTAGGTACCTCTAGTTATGTAGACGTATATATGTATGTATACGTATGGCGGCCGCAGCGGTGTAGTGGTAAGCAGTGTGCGCTTCCAATCCACAGGGC